AAAAATTCAAAAATTCAAAAATTCAAAAATTCAAAAATTCAAAAATGCAAAAATTCAAAAATTCAAAAATTCAAAAATTCAAAAATTCAAAAATTCAAAAATTCAAAAATTCAAAAATTCAAAAATTCAAAAATTCAAAAATTCAAAAATTCAAAAATTCAAAAATTCAAAAATTCAAAAATTCAAAAATTCAAAAATTCAAAAATGCGGGAGGGCAAAAATTCAAAAATTCAAAAATTCAAAAATTCAAAAATTCAAAAATTCAAAAATTCAAAAATTCAAAAATTCAAAAATTCAAAAATTCAAAAATTCAAAAATTCAAAAATTCAAAAATTCAAAAATTCAAAAATTCAGAAATTCGGAAATTCAGAAATTCGGAAATTCAGAAATTCGGAAATTCAGAAATTCGGAAATTCAGAAATTTCGAAAATCATGAAATTAAACATTAAAAAATTCGAAAGTTCAAAAATTAAAAAATTCGAAAATTCAAAAATTCAAAAATTCAAAAATTCAAAAATTCAAAAATTCAAAAATTCAAAAATTCAAAAATTCAAAAATTCAAAAATTCGAAAATTCGAAAATTCAAAAATTCAAAAATTCAAAAATTCAAAAATTCAAAAATTCAAAAATTCAAAAACAAAAAAATCGACAAAAATGACGTCTTCATATCTTTAAACCAAAAAGTTAGTCTCAAAGCGATTTTTCACTTTTCGAATCCGCATCAATTTCAACTTCTTTTCCTCCAACAATCACTTTCTTCGGAATAAGAGTCATCGGTTGATCAGATCCATTCACTGCCTCCGAAATCACCTTCATGTCAATTGTCATTTGAATCTAAAAGTTTACAAGTTCCAGAGAAAAGGATTACTGTAGAATACCGTGGTCTTTCCATCTGGAGTTTTTCCAAAGACAACAATCTTATTCTCAGTTGGTGCCTTGATCCGAGTTACTGCTTGCGGTTTTGGAGCAGTTGGAACAGCTGGTGTCTGAAAGTTCCAAAATCATACATCTAAATTTTAAACAATTGAGCATACCGGACGCTTCGCTGCTCCGAACAAAGAATGTGGCTGTTTTCTGATGCCAGAACATCTCGAAGCCGACTTTGTGGTCGGGAAACGTCTCTGAGCCGGTGGCAGCTGAGCCACATCATAGACACAATGACTTTGGTCGTTGGCTTTTTTGGGGGTGGGCGGAGCCACCTCATCCATTTTTCTTGTGCATTGTCCAGATCCCGGGAAGTTGTAGGCGGGAGATTCATTGAATTTTCGAGTAGGTGCTGGAGGTGCCTCACGTTTCATAAACTTGTTGGCGGCCATGGGAGGACTGCAAAAAATTCTTTACTGTCAAGTTTTAGCTCAAATATCTCAATTACTATGGAAGATATCAAAAATGTGTCTGATAAAACATTTCTGATATTATGATGAACAGTTTATATGTTCAAAATTTTTTTATATCTTTGACAGGGACCGAGAAAAATTGGCTCAAAATTAACAGGCCCTTCTATTACAGGTTTAACTAACCCATTCATGACACCTGGCAAGTAGACACTATTGTCGCCTTTTTTGACGACTCCAGACTTTCCAAATTGTGGAGCAGACTTTTCAACTTTTTGAGATTTATTCGATTTTGCAGATTTCTTGGAGAAATCCGAATCCATCAGAGGATCAGCTTTTTTGGACTTTCCGGATTTAGTGGATTTTGCAGATTTTCCAGAAGCGTCGTCCATCAGAGGAGCTGCTTTCTTGGACATCGCAGATTTCGAAGATTTTCCAGAAGCTTCGTCCATCAAAGAACCTTTTTTGGACTTTGCAGTTTTTCCGGATTTTGCAGATTTCCCAGAATCATCCCATTTCGTCTTCTTTGCTGACTTTCTCGATTTCTTGGATTTCTTGGATTTCTTGCAGCTCTTGGAAACTTCTAGAACAGGATCCTCAGTTTTTTGTTGCTTCTGTTTTGCCTCCGCGAGCTTCATCTCACTGATTCGAGCGGCTGGCGAACGTTTTCTGGATTTCTCGGGACCAGAAAGTCGACTCTAGAATTTAACTTGTAGTTTTTCAGACGGAATGATAGGGATACCTTTCCAGACAAGGGAATTCCAGTTTTCGTCGTTTCCGATGTTCCAGATTTCAACGACAACTGGTCGGAGGCTTTGCCGTCAAAGCTGCTGAATTGGGATGTCTGCAATTTTTCAGAAAATCAGAAGTTCGAAAAAAACCAGACTTACACCAGTAAAAGTGATGTTTGTAACACTCTGAGGATGGACGATAACCTGCTGCTCCTGAGCAATTTTTTGTCTTCCGAAAAGACTTCCTTTTCTCAAATCTGTAAATTTGAAAAAAAAGATTTTGCTAGTTCGATTTGGCTAAAAACCATTCATGAGAATCTCCGGAGAGGTTGGCGCTTGAGCCGTTTTTGGTGTAGAAGTAGCCGAGCTGACACGTCCAGATCCGGCCGATGTATCAGAGAGTCCAGAGTTTCTGGAACAGAATTAGGGTGGCTTACAACTACAGTATCCCTCCATTTTTTGAGATTTCAATTCTTAGAATCTCAGAATCTCAGAATCTCAGAATCTCAGAACCTTAGAATCTCAGATTTCCCTGTTCTAAAAACCTACGATTCAAAATCCGACGGTGTTCCACCGATTGCTGTATTCACAGAATTCGACATTGCCGTCGGAATAAGACGTGCATCGGTTGGTGGTTCGGCAGTCATCATACTCAACGAACGGGCGGTTGGAGGGCATACCGAACCGACACTTGATGAACTCTTCGTTTGGCTTGGCTAGAAATGGACACCCGGATACACAGACACACAGAGGGAGGATCTCACCGATTTAGACGGCTTGCTCATTTCGCTTATCCGAGTGGAAACTAACGAGAACGAATGATTTTCATTGAAAAATAATTTTTTATTTGATAGGTTTTCTAGACCATTCTTTCCAACCATTATCCACAAGTTTAGTCGAAAAAGACATTTTGGAATATCACGTTAATTCGAAAGTTGTCTATTTTTGTCATAATTTTGTAGTTTTTTTGTTCACTTTCACTTCTTCTAGAAAATCCAAATTTCCGCGTGCTGCCTACTTTGACATGAACTATTTTCTTATCTTATCTTCAGATCTGATCTACGGGTGCTATATAAGCTGGGAGAAATCAGAAAGAAATCTAACCGAGGAGTCGATGAGGAGTCCGATTAGTAAGGAGCTTCCAGGACAGCTGGGATGGCAAGGAATCTGTTCAATTCTTCGAAGACTAATGGCGGTTCTTCTCGACGATGATCACTGGGATCAGCAACAAATGAGCAAGGAGGATTGGATATTGGATGCTGGAAAGAGTTGAATGCGGCCCATTGTCAGGAAGCTTTGGATGCGCTACTCGCTGCTATTTCTTTTTCTGGAAGGCTGATCGACGTCATTTAAGTAAAAAAAGTACTAAAAGGCCTCAGGTCGCCATTGTTTGGGGTTCATGGCTAGGTGTTTATCACTGAACGTCCCCCTTTTACCAAATGACCGAAATCGAATTTTCAAAGAAAATGAAATAGCAATTGATAGCGTACGCTGAGCTTTCTCGCAGCAAAGGATCTACTGGAACACATTGACTTCCGACTTCAAACCTTCGACTTTCAAAGCTTTCACTTCCTGATAACTTTTCACATCTCTTTTTTCTTATTAATTTCTTGTCTTATCAAGTTTCTCAGATTTTGAATTTTTCGATTTTTTGGAACTAAGTTTACTGTAGTAATGAAAGGCGTACGCATGGCTTTCAGGTAGCAGAGGATCAAAACACCGACTTCCGTACTCCCGAGTTGCTGGTTCTTCGGAACCCAAAATAACAATTTTCAGACAATTTTTTCCAATATTATTATTTGGAGACCGTTTTCTGAGCATTTTTTTTAGTTTGAGTTTCGGGGAATTTGGAATGTTCATGAGATACAAGAATCGAAAGTCATCATAGAATCCGAAAGTTCTCAAAATCTGAATATTCAAAAATTGATAAATTCCAATAAAAAAATATCTTTCTTACGGCAGAAAAAGCCGTAAAAGCTAAAAAAACGAAAAAAATAAATTCAATCGTAAGTATTTTATCATATCTTTGTTCAAACTGTTTATCTTCCGACGATTTTTCACATCCTGTCAATACGTCCAGCTCCCACACAGAGCTCACCACCCTATGTATCGGAGCATCTGATTGGTCTAAAAAAAAGTTAAGCCCTCGGCTTGGGTCGCCATTTCAGAATTTTAGAATTTCAGAGTTTTAGAATTTTAGAATTTCTGGTTTTCAGAATTTCAGAATTTCAAAATTTCAGGATTTCAGAATTTCAGAATTTCAGAATTTCAGAATTTCAGAATTTCAGAATTTCAGAATTTCAGAATTTCAGAATTTCAAAATTTCGGAATTTTGGAATTTTGGAATTTCAGAATTTCAGAATCTCCCAATCTCAGAATTTCAGAATTTCAGAATTTCAGAATCTCCCAATCTCAGAATTTCAGAATTTCCCAATCTCCATACTTGTAATCCGGGCCTTCGCGGGCCCTGCCATAACTTCTTTCCGAATCAATGTTTTCGAACCAACTCAATCAGGTATGATAGAGCTCCACGAGTACTAAAAAACGGTATTATTTGGAATACTGTATCTTGTCTATGAACAGAGTTACAGAGCAAAAGGAGCAAAAAAAGCAGGCCCGCCCCGGGCCTGCCGGGCCCTGCGAGAAAAGCCACTTTATGATCTGTAACTTTGTTCATAGATAAGATACAGTATTCCAAATAATAGCGTTTTGTGGTACTCGTGGAGCTCTATCATATCTGATTTAGTTGGTTCGAAAATATAGATTTTGAAAGAAATTATGACAGGGCCCGCGAAGGTCCGGCAAAGGCCCGGATTACAAGTATGCCAATCTCAGAATCAGGGAATCAGAGAATCTGAGGAATTCCTGATTTGTTGAGATTCTGAAATTCTGAAATTCTAAAATGTTCTTCACACTCTGAATTATATCAGAATTACGAAACTTTGGAATCGTTGAATCTTAATTTTTTTTTTGAAAAATGAGGAAACTGTCAGATTGTAGAGAAACTTTTTAAATTACGATTCAAACCAAAAAGATGCCGAAAAAACTCTTATCAACCCTTTCAAAAACTCACTCCAAAAGGGAGAAATTAGCACTGAAATCACTTAAACCGCCCATAACTCGACTTCTGTGCAGAAAACCAAATACAGCACGAGAAAGCCGGTATTCGAAACTATAAATGAGCAAATTTGGAAAAAATTCTGAGATGACGGCTAAACATGGTTCCCTTATTAAGTTTTGTAAAAATTTAAGAATCCCAAAATTTCAGAATTTCTAAGGTTGCCTGTAAATTCAACTGATCAGAAAAAATTGAGATTTGTCTTCTGTTCATTTCATTTGATTTCAGAATATTTAAATTCAGAATCCATTTATTCATAAAATATTATGTCAATCAAAGCAAAATACCCATACAGTAAAATACACGAGATGTCTAATAACCTAGCAAAAGAATCAAAAATCGGGATTAAAGTTTGAATTTGATTGAAATCAGATTCGTAATATTATGCGTTGCCTTCAGAATCCTTGACGTCGCCACGTACATCGCCATCGACATCACAATCAGAATGAAGAAGAAATCGATATAATAGAACTCGACAAAGCTCATTTCAGCAGCATACGAGTCCAACCCATGTGGTTTTCCAAATCTCGCGACAAAATTGAAGTACTTGATGAAGATCTCCTTTGGCGATTCTGGCTGATTACGGAGCATCTGAGCTAGCTTCCGGCTTTCATTGAGTACGATTTGTCCCTCAACATCTTTCTAATAGTTCCTCGAACTTTTTTGGTGTCCGTCAAATCGTATTTGGTAAGAAGGAGAGCCACTCCGTGTCTTTCCAACATTCGAGCGTTTCTTGTTTGGTCACCAAAGACTGGCACCATCACAGATGGTTTTCCTGAGAAAGCCACTTCGTTAGTGGATCCTAATCCTCCATGAGTGACAAAAAGAGTGAGTCGGGGATCGGAAAGAAGGGCGGTTTGAGGCATCCAATCGGTCAGCATCACGTTATTGATTTTTTTGTTATACTGCTTGACAATATCAATCGTTGTGTTCTCATATTTCCAAATGAATGTGGTGTCAGGCATGCTTTCGAAGGTTTTGATCAAGGAGAGTCTGGAAAAACAAGACTTAATGGTTGGTAGTAGATGATGAAAAAGTTTTTTTTTCATTTCCGGACTTCCTAATTTTGCAACAATGTCATACGAGGAGTCATGAGAACTAGTTGCTCCAAATATTTCTTATCAAGTGCAAAGACTGGGAGTCCGGAAATACGAAATAAATCAAAAATTAAAACAAAAACTCACTTCATATCATCTGACATGTACATTGATTTTGCATTGGTACCAAACGAAATAAGCACGTTGTTCTTTCTCAAAGAGAGAATTCTATCGTACTCCGCAGGAAGTTTTTCCTGTTTGAATGCTCCAGATGAGATTCCTCCGATATCCACGAATTTCGAAGTGCGAGGACTTGGAATGTCCATTTGTGGATTACTATTCACGAACATGTAGGCGTTCTTTCTCAGAAGCTCTCTCCATCCTTTTCCATTCTTATAGAGCCCCTCGATTCCACTCAATTCGTAGTCATAAATCTTACTGTTGAAATGATAGTTGAAATAGGATTCCACAAAGTTTTTCACACGTCCAACCAATCCCATTCGCTCGGATCCAGATGAGAATACGGCTGGGAGATAGCTAGTGGTGATGGATGCTCCATGAGCAATCTTGGAGACTTCCAAACCCAAATGAGAGTCGGCTGAGATGGCAATGTCGATTCCGAGATGATCGAACAGTGCGAATCCACAGGAATAGAGAGGTTCAGAAACAGCAACGTCAAAGTGTTGATCGCGGAGATAGTTGATAAGTGTTTCGTTTCCAAAGATATCTGGAATCGAGTTTTTTTATGGGAGGGTCTTAAAATGGATAGTGGACTCACTTTTACACGAGGCCTTGCAAATGTTGGCAGCCTTGGTTCCCAATTTCAAGAATCCAACGATTCCGGAATTCATAACCCAGGTGTTTTCACGACCTCCTCCAGCCTTGAATTGGACGTTCGCCTCGATGAGCTCATCGTTTTGTTCAACAAGGATACGGTGCTTGATTTTTCGTACAAGGGGCGTGGTGTCTCGGAGGCCTTCGTCAAGGATTGGCAAGAGAACAGTCTGGAAAATTGAATGGTTTGCGGGGAATATCAGAAACAGGGGTACTGTAGAATCTTGAGCAAATTTTTGGCACCGATGCCACTGCAATGCGGTAATGATACCCGAGAGGTATAGGCATGTCCCAGGGATGTCCCGGGGTTCCTCTAGGTGCCCAGGAATACCCAGGAGTGCCCATGGGTGCCCCAGGGTACCCTAGGATGCCCAGGATGCCCCAGGAGGCCCCAGAATGCCCCAGAAGCCCCAGGGTGCCACAGGGTGCGTCAGAGTGCTTCAGGGAGCCCCATGGTACTCAAATGTGCTCCAGGGTAGGGGTAACGTGCCAAAAAAACCAAAATAGTTTTAAACTCACCACGTTGTATCCCTCATCTTGCAGAATATTAGAAATAGTTCCCATAAATTTCAAATGAGAGTGTCCGCTGATCGGAAGGAACACCAACACCTTTTTGGGTTTTGTTGTTCCATTCGCATCAACAAGAAGAAACGACGGAATGACGAGTAGTAGCAGTAAATATAAATAAGTGCTCATTGTTTGTGTTGCAGAAAAAACGAGTGACTTATCAGTTCTCCCCTAAACAGTACTGAATTTATAGGGGGTGCCTCCTGAATTCACTTTGCGATGATTCAGGGGGGCCTCCCCTTTTTAACACGTCATTTCTCGTTGTTCTTCTTTGCTGATAAGAGCAGATATCACAACGAACAAATTTCCGGGTAGGGGGCGGAGTTACGGGTTGACTTAGAGCATTGGAGCATGGAGCATGGAGGGGTACCCGGATGGAATGGGTCTCCTGACCCGTGTAGTGTTTTTATCAATAGGAATGTTTTGTTTTCCTGTATGGACAGGATGTGACTAATTTTTTGCATGGCGCCTACTGTCAAATAAATGATGGAGCAATTTTAGGAGCCAAAATGTCCGGAACTTGGAAGGAGATTTGAAACAAAAATGTTATCAGCAAACTACCGGTATTTTCAGGAATCTGCAAGTTGCTTATCTTGTTTTATTGTTCCGAATGTCGTATGGTATTCATGAACACATTGTTTGTTCTGTTCGAAATAATGCGAATTTTATCGTACTCCACAGGAAGCTTCTCCTGTTTGAATGCTCCAGATGAGATTCCTCCGATGTGCACGAATTTTGAAGTGCGAGAATACCCATTATACTTTTCAAAAACATGTAGGCGTTCTTTTTTAGAAGCTCTCAGACCCTTTTTTCATTGTTGTAGGGCCCCTAGATTCCACTAAATTCATAATCATATTAGGTTGGCAGGAAAGTAACTGTCCCTTGTTTTATTTGTAAATAATACAAAAGCAGGATTAATCCAAGATTAGCAGTATGCACCGTCGTGGTCCACGACATGTTGGCAATGTTCTGATAACTTGTGGATACAATACCTTCAAAAGCCAGCTAGCCGCGAATCAAAGTACTCATTTTTTCCTGTTTTTCACATAAATGGTGCAAATTTTCGTATTCTCTAGATGAGGTTGCATCTCTCCGAATATCCAATAATCTGATAGAGCTCAGTCGGGACTATAAGTAGGTGAGGGAGAACGGTCACACTGAAGCTGCTCAGGTCTGACTTGACTGCAGGTAAAAAATGAAAAAAACCTCATGTTCACGGAAAGTCACGCCGTACCTGAGCCTCTTTGGCTGGACGGTTCTCCTTTACCCCCGTTAAAGACCTGATTCAGCTCTATCAGATCATTGGTTGTTCAAAAGTATACGACGTCATCTGGAGCTTAAGGACTTTAACACAATTGATGCCTGAAAAAATGGACTGGAGGGATACTTTGACTTGCCACTAGCTGGCTTTTGGAGGGATGGTACCCACGAGTTACCTGAACATTGCCAACATGTTGTGGATCACGACGGTGCATATTGCTAATTCTGGATTATTCTTGTGTTTTTTGTTATTTACTAATAAAAAAAATGGACAGTTACTTTCCTGCCAACCTAATACATCTTACTGTTGAAATGATAGCTGAAATAGGATTTCGCAAAGTTATTTACTCGTTCTTTCGGATCCGGATGAGAATAACGCTGGGAGATAGCAGGATGCTCCATGAGCAATTTTCGAGACTTCAAAATCCAAATGAGAATCAGCAGAGATGGTAGTGTTGATTCCGAGATGATCGGGAAGTGCCTTTCCACAGGGATGGAGAAAGCAGAATTTTAAAATTAGCCATGTTTATACCAACTTTAAAGCTAGAAAAGAAACAAATTCAGAGCTTTTTTCACAAATTAAATCGGACCAAAACCGACCGAGTTATGGCATACACCAGTTTCAGACCAAAATTTTCGAAAACTTTAAACTCACTAGTCAGCCTTGTTTATACTCAATTTGAAGCTGAAAACAAGGAAAATTAGATCTGCTTGCGAAGATCAGATTGGACCAAAACTGGCCGAGTTATGGCCTAATACAACTTTAGGTCAAAAGTTCAAAATTATTATATAAACCTTGACTTGTTTCTACTCATTTTGAAGCTAAAAACAAGATAAATTCAAAAAAATTGTTAGCAAAAATGAAATTGGATTAAAATTTACCGAATTTCGACCTGAACCAGTTTTGAGCAGGAAATTTTCAGAACTTTGAACTTTGGTTAGAAATAGTTCAATAATGTTTTTCAGTTTTTTGTCAATTTTTTTTTTCAGATTTTCAATTTTCCAGTTTCAAGGAAACGTTCCTGACTAAATCGTACTCCTTTCTAGTAAAACCACTCCGCCGTATTTTTCCCTAATATTTGCACTTTTTCTTAACACTATATGTCATTCGCCGTCATCGACGCCGCTTCAGCGAATGTCCATTTTCGTATTTTCGTCGATTAGCACAAATTATGATTACAGACAAAAAGTGACGTGAGGTCAATTTATGTCTCTGACTCCCTCTTCCGATTCATTGATTTCATGATTTCATCTCTATGTTCCGTGCTCTTTGTCATATCTCTTTGTGTTCTGTATTTGAGTGGGCGAATAAGGAATTTCAGTATCCGTGTCCAAAAATTGTTAGAATATTTTGTAACTGTTTTTGATCATCATGTGTAGGTGGTCAAAATAAAATGTTACCATCGTCTTATCAATTAACTTTATCTTTTTTTGAAAATACAACGGAAGCAGCCCGAATTGCGGATGTGGACAAGATCAAAATGTAAATAAAAATGGAAATTGCCAAAATTAGGTCAAGGTAGTAATAGGCGAAGAAGGAGATGTTGGCAGCGTTTGAGTCGATTCCGTCGGGTTTTCCGAATCTGGAAAAACATTCAAGATTTTAGAATTCCGAAGTTCCAAATTCTACCATTCTGGAGTTTGAAATTTCAAAAAATTATCCGAGATTTTGAAATTCCAAAAAATTTTCATCAAAGTTTTGAGATTCTATCATTCTGAACAGTGTTTTTAAGGAACATTTCTCGAAAACGGCGAATATCAAAAATAATGTTTTGGAAAATTAGTTTCGAATCACTAGACTTTGCTCAGTGCGTTCTAGGCTATTGTGACATGATGGCCTAACTTATGTAACTGGAGTTTTCTAGGCCACCATTGTAAAAGGCCAGATTTTGAGGATTTACAGATTTTCCCTGTCAAAAATAGCACACGCCCTAAGTTTCTCAACACGATTTGTCTAGACCAAGGCAGTTGATGGTCCTAAAATGGTTCAACATGCATCTGATTTGTTTTCTAGGCCATTTTCCATGGTGGCCTAACTTTTTCTAGAACGTTTCAACATGGTGGCCCAGAAAACTCAACTTACAAAAGTTAGGCCACCATGTTAAATGACCTAGAAAACAAATCAAGTGCACTATTCTGGAGAATCAACTACGTTGCCCTAGAAAAATCATGTTGAGTAAGTTAGGCCACTCTATTCTGAAGTTTGAAAGTTTGTGAAATCTATTCTAGAATTTTGAAGTTCTGAGATTTTGAAGTCTTCAAATTTTAAGACTTTTGAATTGAATGTAATCCGGAATTCAGAATTGTCATTCTTCCCAAAGTCCGGGAACAGTACCCACAAAAAATATAAGTACAATCTAGCCGGTACCTTTTAACCCGAATTCACGTGAAAGAGTACATATTGCTCACCTGGCTACAAAGTTAAAGTACTTCAGGAAAACGTCTTTTGGAGACTCCGGCTGATTATTCAACAACTTGGCCAGATTACGCGCCCTCTGTGCAAAACTCTTATCATTTAACACTGACATAATTGCGTTTTTGATAGCACTGGGATACTGTAGCATCTCTTTTCTCAGCACGAGAACTCCTCCGTGCCTCTCCAACATTCTGGAATTTCTCGTCTGATCCCCGAAAACTGGTACCATAACTGCTGGCTTCCCACTGAATGCCACTTCATTGGTACTGGCTAATCCACCATGAGTCACAAAAAGGTCCAATCGAGGATCAGCTAGAAGTGCTTGTTGAGGCATCCAATCCACTAGAAACACATTTTGAATCGAGGAGTCCCATTGTTTCACAATGTTGACAGAAGTATTCTCGTATTTCCAAATAAATGTCACATCTGACATTTTGCCAAGTGCAGTGATAAGAGAGTTTCTGAAATGGGATTACGGTAGTGTTTTGTGATTTTGTGATTGTGATCTATGCTGACCTGTATTCTATAGGCATGAAAACTGATTTCGCGTTGGAACCAAAAGAAATGAGGACAGTGTGATTTCGAAGATTCAGAATATCGTTGTAGAACTGAAACATGAAGGATTTATTACGTCGGGAGAAAATAAGCCACCGACCACCGCACAGCCGACCATATACAAAAAAGCATGCCAGAGCAAAATTTCCATCAAGCCCCTCCTTGATTTTTGGCGTATATTACCAGAAATTTTTTAGCTTTCTCGAATTTAGAAAACTGATGTTCTAAACTTCCAAGTTTGCAAAAGGAACGTTCTGCGGTCGGTCACCGATTTTCAGTCTCAACCAACCTCCGGTAAAACTTCATCAACCCTCTTCTCATCCGCTGCAATCCCTCCCACTTCAATGAATTTTGAAGTTCTTGGATTTGGAAAATCCAAAGTGGATTACTATTTGTGAACATATAAGCTGGTAATCTCATCAACTCTTCCCACGTCTCCTTCCCCTTATAAATCCCTTGCATTGCCGCCATTTNCTTATCATGGATCAATAGAGCATATCGTCGATTCAAATACGTTTCATAGAGATTTACGACTCTTTCAAAAAACGTCATCTGATCCGATCCTTCTGAAAATGCCGATGGCAAATAACTGGATGTTATCGCTTGTCCATGTGCCATTTTGGGTCCCTCCAGCCCGATATGGGAATCAATTGATAAGATTTTATCAATTCCGAGGTGATCAAAAAGTGCGAAACCGCAAACAAAAAACGGTTCGGAGAGACCAATTTCGTAGTTTTCGTTTTTTAATCGTTCAAGTAGTTCAGTGTTGTGGAAGATACCTGGAAATGGAAATGATAAGAGAAATTGGTTGTTGATATTTATTACCATCACAAGTATACGAGTACAGATCGGAGAGAAGATAACGGATGCCATCGAATCCGTAAATTCCAGATCCCATGGTCCATGTTTGTTGGCCAGCCGCCTTACCGCCCATGTTATTAATTGCGCGGAGTACTCTGAAAATGTATACGTTTTGAGATTCCGGATTTAGTCAGATTTTGAAGATTTACAGATTTTTCGATTCCTGCCAAAAACCGCTAACTTTCTCAACACGATTTTTCTAGACCAAGGTAGTTGATGGTCCAGAAATGATCCAACATGCACCTGATGTGTTTTCTTGGCTATTTTCCAAGGTGGCCTAACTTTCGTGAGCTGAGTTTTCTAGGCCACCATGGTAACTTGCTCAAAAATACACACGGTGATTATCAGGCTATTACAAGGCCATTTATGACGGTGGTCTAGAAAACTCAACTTGCAAAATTTAGGCCACTATGCGAAAATGGTCTAAAACGGCCTGGTGTGATTTTGGGTCATTTTAGCATGGTGGCCTAACTTTTACAAGTTGAGATTTCTAGAGTATCAGTCTGCTATACTAACATGGCCTAGAAATTAAAAAAATTGAATTCTGAAATCACTGACCCCGGATGAATATCCAATCTGATTTTGTGATTGATTTTCTCAGTGATCGGAAGATTTGTCTTGTTCAGAGTGTAGTCAATGAGAGGTAGCAGAAGGGTCTGGAACAAAGCTTTTCATTGAGTTACTGTATGTAAACCCGTAATAGAAGGACCCTAACTTTAACCGTTTTTATCTCCGTTTCCATAAGAGATATCAAGAAATTTTCAACTGACAAAATATTTTTGAGATTCTGATAAACAATTTGTTAGTAAACCACTTTTTGATATCTTTCACAGGAAATGAGATGTATAGGACAGCAAAGGGGTACAGGTTGACAGCTAGGGGGTAAGGTATCTGAATTTTCTCCAAACTCACCACATTATACCCTTCGTCTTGCAAGATATGAGCTACAGTACTCATGAACTTCAAATGAGAATGCCCGGTAACTGGTAGCCAAACCAGCACCTTTTTTCCTTGGATTTCAGGATTTTTTGAGCAGACAACTGCTCCAAGCAGGACAAAAGTTAAGGAGAAAATCATAGTGAAATAGAGGCTAATAAATGTGAAAATGACAGTTTCAACCACTCATTTTATGCTCCCAGATCCTATATCATCGGACTTTTTGCTTCATTTTTTTTCAATTTTATTGTCCTACAGTTAGCTGATAAGCAAAGTGCCCTAAATTGTTCACTGTTTCGAAAGTGTCTCTCTTGTCATATGCTACAAAATTCAAGGGAATGATGAGAAACATCTGTTGTCTCTGTAATGTATTCTAAGCAGTTGTACACATGTCACCCAATGTGAATTCTGGAGGCAGGAGACGTTGTCAATCTGAATTTTTAATGACAAATCGTTTGTCTCGAGAATTGTCTGGGACAGGACAATTTGTACATTTTTATGAGATTTTTTTTGGTTTTGTTTCAAAGTTTCTGTATCATGGTACTTTTTTGATAAGGAAATAGAAAGAAAAGACAGCAATAAAAAATTTTTGGTACTTTTCGTACGTTGTAGCCTATAGAAAAAATGTTGAAATTTTGAAGCTCAAAAAATTAAAAAAAATCTGAATGTTTGAAAATCTGAAAATCGAAAATACTGGATTCCAAGGTTTAGAGTTGAAGAATTTCAGAATCTCTGGATTCTATAAGTTTCGAATTTTGAAATCTTGGAATTTCAAAATTTAGGATATTCTGAAATTCAGAATTTTAGAATTTTAGAATTTTAGAATTTTAGAATTTTAGAATTTTAGAATTTTAGAATTTTAGAATTTTGAAATTTTAGAATTTTAGAATTTTAGAATTTTAGAATTTTAGAATTTTAGAATTTTAGAATTTTAGAATTTTAGAATTTTAGAATTTTAGAATTTTAGAATTTTAGAATTTTAGAATTTTAGAATTTTAGAATTTTAGAATTTTAGAATTTTAGAATTTTAGAATTTTAGAATTTTAGAATTTTAGAATTTTAGAATTTTAGAATTTTAGAATTTTAGAATTTTGAAATTTTAGAATTTTAGAATTTTAGAATTTCAGATTTTGAAAGTTGAGAACTTTGGAATTTTAGAAATTCTGAAATTCTGAAATTCTGAAACTTTGAGATTCTGAAATTCTGAAATTCTGAAATTCTGAAATGCAAAAATCCAGAAATTAATTCAGAATTTCAGAATTTCAGAACTTTGGAATTTCAGAATTTCAAAATTTTGAAAGTTCAGCATTTTGGAAATCCTGGAAATTCTGGAAATTCTAGAAGTTCTGAAATTTGAAAAATTAAGAAATCCAGAATCTCTGGATTTCTGAGTGTCAGAATTTGAGAATTTCAGATTTTCAGATTTTTCCATTTCCACACTTTCTGATTTCAAGTTTTTCCGTTTTCAAATTTTTAGTTTTCAGATTTTCTCAATTTCTGAAATTCAGAAATTCAGAACTTGATACTATTGAGCGTCAATTTTTTAAACGTTTTTCTAGAATCTGAAATTCTTAAACTCGTTAGTGTATTTATGTTTTCCTGAATTCTATAAACATGAATTCTTGATTTTGACCCAAGGTATACTGTATGCTCTAAACTATGATTTCATGATTCAAAGAAAAAAATGAAGTCATTTCTTAAAATTTATCACCGTGCTCAATATGTCATTCGTCTTTCATAGCACGGTTTTTTCCGTGATAACGACGTGCACAAAATTTAAATTTGTGTAAAATATTACAGGAAACCCAGAAATTACTTTTGTTTAGGTTTTTGATTTCTGACTGATTGTGTAAACAATAGAAAGAGAGGGTGGAGGTGTTGCTTATCAATTTGTGATTAGTTTTTGCATCGCATGGTTAGAGATGCAAAATTAGAAAAAAGATAGGAGAAAGCGGGGAATAGAAATTGACGAAAATACAAGTTGAACAAAAAGGGAAAGTCCTAGGTTTGAGGGACCAAAATGAAAAAAAAGAATTTTAAAAAATCAGTGGTCCCATTTTTGAAGTCAGATGACAAATTTGCTATCAGATGGCAATTTAGATTCACCAGAGGGCATCGAAATGCCAAGTAAATAACCAGTTGTTCTTTAAAGTTGATCTAGATCGTTGCGACTGTAGCCAACTGTGGTATACTGTAGGTCTAACATGTCGAAGATCGGTTCTTTTAAAATTTTTTGTAGGTATCTGTCAATCAAAGAGTTGACAAAATGGTTGTGTTCATGTGACTACAAAATGTATCAAGAATTAAATTACGAAATTACAATGTGAGTTTCTGTAAACCAGGTTAAAGAACATTACGATTTACCGTATTCCCTCTAACAGGATGCTTCTCAAACCGTTAGTTTTAAGCCTAAATATCTCATTTTTTGTAGAAGATATAAAAAAGTGGCCAAAGGATAAAATATTTATCAAAATTTCAAAAACATTTTGTCAGTTGACTACTTCTTGATATCTTTCACGGGAACCGAGATAATTGAGCTTAAACTTGACAATGTGGAGGCTCTTTTATTACAGGTAGTTTTAAAGCTCTCCGAATAAATAACTTTCAAATAAAAAAAGCAAACTTTTGAAGTTTTCAAATCCCAAGAGTTTGAAATTTTGTGTTTTGTAGTCACTTTATGCAATTGGCAATTTTAGAACCTGCAAGCCCATACGTGATGGCGCATAATTACACGGACTGATGTTTGTACTAACATAAAATTTGAGCAAAACATTGTACTGGGCTAAAATTTAAATTGTCAAAACTCAAATAATTCATATGTAAACGGGCCAAGTTTCAAACTATTTGATCAACTTTAAACTGAGTTACCGCTTGTCAAATTTGCTTCATCTCATGGAAATCACAACTAACATTACACCGTTCATCTTTGGACAATCATAACAATCCCCAAACTTGAGGAATGGCCTTGAAAATTGATGTAGCTTTGAATCGAACGTGAATTCGTATATTTACCAATTTTGTTCTTATGTCTGAAGATAAACCGTTTTAATCAGTTCGGGTAATTTTCTCCCACCATACCCGGAATTTATACCCGAAATCTCACAATGTAGACTGAGAATTAGTAGAATGTATGCAAGTACCCTTCATCAGAATTATAATTGGTCTTTTAATCTCATTTTCTCTATCCAATCCACCCAATTATCACCTCTACCTGTCACGTCATCTGAAGACGCCTCGACGGATACACATGTTTCCCGGAGGCTGACCTGTACCATCTTCTGGGCGTTTCGGTCGCGTTACGGTCGCGTCGCGTAAGCACCCCAGTCTTTTTTTAACCATAGCCTTTGAATTCTTCGTTTATTCATCTCCTCTATTGCATATTCTCCGATATCAAAGTTTCCTTTCGTGGTTTTCAGAGAAATTCTGGCGAACTGCAATGCCAGCGATCTGTAAGTGATTACTGTATTTTCCAAACTTCACCGTTTGCATTCAGGAACGCACTATTCCAAACCTCCCGACGTTTCAAAAATAATTTGATTCGAGACCTACCGAGAAATATGTTTAAAGTTGAAATTAGTCTGCAAATGATGGCAACGCTGGAAACATCCAAGGGGGACAAATTAGAATTGTTTTCCATCCCATACCTAGACAGTGACCGTTTAGATTTGAAAGATATTCTAGAATCGGCAATTTTCAGTTTTAGCAATGACAGTTTGGCTAGTCTGACCGTATCTATCGATGAGATGACTCGATTCTTAAAATGCGACATCGCTTCGTTGATCATAGACTGTGGACATTGTATAGGAAGGATGCCTCAGATTTTTGGATGGTTGAACGAGAGACAACAATCAATTAATCATTTGACAATTAAGTATGAAGCAGAGAGAGATGTTGAAGATCCCGACTTTTTATTGAAAAATATGAACGTCATCGAGTGTTTCTTCATCTACGTCGGCACTCTGCCTGATGGAATGCGACCTCTTAATCCGAAATTCAGATGTGATTTTTTGAGTGTTACTGATGTTCCATCAAATAATTGGATGTGCCTGAACGACATCTCAAATTCGGACTGCAAATACATTCATCTTGGTGCATCTGAATTCACTCCTACAGAATTGAGCACATTTTTAAAGTCGTGGAGAAATGGAAGAAATCAGAGAATGGAATACATCAACGCGAATTGATAGTGAAGATATGATGATTGAGCTGACCGATGCTCTGAATGTAGTGGAAAGAGAAGAGTCATTGATTCGAACTTTTGTGTTGTGAGTTTTTAAAATCGTTGCTGAACTGTTAATTTTTATAATTTCAGCGTTTCAACGCCGTGGGCTTTATTCGGAGGGCTGGATATAAAACGAGAGGATGAGAAAGTTGCGTCGGTTGTAATTGGACCAATATTACATGAGCATGACGACGGAAAACAAATTCGTGCATTTACAGTAGTTGTATGGCCAGAAGGTGCTAATTAAGACCTTATTTGTTTTTCATTGCTCGTTTTTTCACTGTTATTTGTGTCACTGTATTTTGATATCTATGTATTTCATTTATTGCTTAGAATAAACTTCTGTAATAAAAGCTTCGCTTTGAAAATGTTTTATTCGAAGACGCAATCGCCGATCCGAGAGACATCAGAACAAATGGGACCATTGGAACCATCGGAAACGATCGAAAAAATACCAAAAAATTCGAAATGGCCCTAATTTCTGAATGAAGTATTTTTCAGTAAAATTTGTAAAACCTATAACAGAAGGTTCCTCCCATTATCAAGTTTGAACTTTTTTATCTCAATTCCTCTTTATAACTTCATTTATAATGGCTTTAGAATCGCTTTGACAATTTCAGTAGCTACGAATCAAACGTATCATTATATTTCTACCAATTTTCGTGCTTTCAAGACATTTATGTCTGAAGATATCCCTGTTTTTATTTGTCCCGGTAACTGTGCGCCACCCTGTGTGATTCACTTCTGATTTTTTTTCATCCCGATCTTTCGAACCTTCCTGCAAAACTTCAAATTGGTTGTTGATTTCCGACACTATATTCTTTTCGTCCTTCTCAAAACTTCAAAAACTGAGCAGCGCTATATTTTTGGACAAAAACACACTTTCTCTCATTCGAAATGCATTGGTTCATAATGGATCGACCGAAAAACATACTGACCAGTAGCAGAAGTCAGGTGGTGATCGATAGAAAGACAAGGGAGCTGTTCCTGTTAACTTTTGTTGGGGGGACATCTCATCGGAAATGCATCTATTATCGTCACTTCTCCCTCCTTCTTCGCCCCCAGACTTTTCGCGCACATTAATAATCGATGGGGCCCAATGTCTTCGAGAAACCACGCCCATTTCTTGACATCTGGAGGGGTGATTTGTTACGGTGTCACTTTTCTCCTTCCATTTCGCGCATTTCACTGAAATTTCGGAAAAATATGGAAGTGCTAGAATCGAAACCATTGAGTGCCATTAGTATGGTTATTGACGCTATTGGAGTGGAACATGACAGTCAGGTTAGTCAAGGGCATGTTGTCGTAAATGTTCATATTTCATATAAGTCCCCTTTGAGCTTCATTATATCGGTTCCTATATGAGATATCAAAAAGTTTACAACTAATAGAATGTTTTTCGTAATACCACCAATATTTTATCAGTTGACAAATTTTTGATATCTCTCATAGGAACCGAGATAATCGAGCTCAACCACGATCATCAAAAATACGTAGAGCCATTTCCGAGCGGATCTCTTCGCCCACCTTATACACTTTGCGCTCAATTATCTCGTTTACTATGAGAGATATCAAAAATCTATCAACTGTAAAAATATTGCTGATGTTATGATAAACAAATTATCACTTGCAATTTTTTGGTATATCTTGAAGGAGCCGAGATATATGGGCTCAGTGTGGAGGTGGACCTTCTATTAGAGTGTTTACGGTATATATGTTACGTGCATAGAAATATAGTTAGGAATCATATAAACTTTCTTAACTCATAATATTTTTTGTAATCGAAAATACCTCATTTTTCTAGAACAAATGTTATTGCTGCAATGAGCAAATTTTCGATCGTTTCATCTGTCGGGTAAGTTTCTGTGAGAGTGGCTTTCCATTGTGGTTTTCTTGCTTCCGTACATACTTTTTCGCACATCGTCTCATAAGGCTTGCATTTTGGTCGGTCGAAAGTCTGCGACCGCCGACACGACCGCTGACCAAATTTTTTGAATTTGCGCGTCATCATGTCAGAGAGTGTTTGCGTACGCAGAATTTTCTGATTCACAAACTCAAACACTCTGGCATTCTAACGCGCAAATGCACGAACTCGGTCGGCGGTTGGTCGGCGGTTGGTCGGTCGGTCGACTAAACTTCCCGACCGTCTGGAAGCCTTAATCGTCTCAAATCATTCACTTCCCATACTGTGTGCTTCTATTCCAGATGGACAACCGATCATACCACGAAAATTGCGTGAAATGCGCCATATGTGAATCTCCGTTGGCTGAGAAATGCTTCTGGAAGAATGGAACCATTTACTGCAGTCAACATTATTATAAGTGGGTTTTGAAGGATGGATTGAAATATGGGCAACTTGATATTTCAGGGACTACAGTGCTCATAGATGTGCTGGCTGCAAGAAGGGGGTCTCGCCGACGGATATGGTTTATAAATTGAAGGTAAGCAAAATCCTCAGCCTCAGTCGGCAGCGGTCCGGACCGCGGCTGGGTTGCCGTGGACCAAACTGATACTCGAAAATAAGCTCACTATCAACCCTGTTTTCGATAAGCTTGAGATCAAATTTTTAAACCCTATCTTCCAGGCCGGGCTTGTATTCCACGTGGAATGTCACTGCTGCACACTTTGCGGACGTCATCTGTCTCCTGGAGAACAAATTCTAGTCGACGACACCATGATGACTGTATCCTGCATGTCCCACTACCCACTACCAATGGATGATCCATGTCCTCCAGTTGGACCATCAGACGTTCCTTCGTGCTCTTCTGATGCCTCAGCTGTTGCTCCGTATCCCATGGATGAGAGTTTCCCGTTTCAAATTAAAAAGGTAGGCATTTCTAGGTGGTTATATTCCTTATGCGGCTATATTCCAGGAAGTGGATGCTTACGGATACAACTTCGAGCATTATTCCTTTTCCGATTTTTGTGACGATGACTCCCGGATGTTGAAGAGAAGGGGACCGCGGACGACGATTAGGCAGAATCAGCTCGACGTGCTCAATGAGATGTTCTCAAACACCCCAAAACCATCGAAACATGCTCGCGCCAAGTTGGCATTGGAGACTGGATTGAGCATGAGAGTGATTCAAGTGTGGTTCCAGAATCGAAGAAGCAAAGAGAGGCGGCTGAAACATTTGTGCAATTATTTGAGACACTATGAGCAGAGAGGACTGATTCCACCGCCGATTCATTTTAGGAATGGTAGGTGGCGTTGGGATTTGGAGCTTGAAGCTAGAAAGCTTAAAGGGGGAAGGGATATTTTCCAGAGTTTTTTTTGAGTTAGGCTATTCTGGCGTAACGGTGTAAAATTCTTTCAGTTTGTTTTTCTGTATAACTCTACTGGTACAGTAGCAGTCAAAAAACGTTTAAAAAAGCAGGTGTCTTCCAAAAATCAGCAAATTTTTCAAAGTAGTCAAAAACTTGACAGCCGAGAACCAGACCACTTTAAATCATCAAAATGCCCGAAATTGAACCGAAAAATATGGTTTTGTGAAGTTATAGTGCGGTACTGGAATTTTGAAACAAAGTTATTTATTTCATGTCCCGCCAAACTTTTCCAAATTCGTAACCTACACAAAATCTTGAATTTTGGAATTTTCGGATTTTTGAATTCTTTACCTTGGCTCTCCTCGAGTTTTTGCCTTTTTCCACCTCCACCCTATTATCAAATTAGGCCTTCCGCAAAGACTCCACTTGAGATTCATATGTGGTTTGAGCTAGACCCGTCAGTTGACGTACTAGCTGAAAAAAGAAGTTTTGACTTGCCACGTCATAAATCAGCCAAACTCAATGGCATTTTGCGGTGTGGCTCTTCTTCTTTTTTCTTCTTCTTATTTTTATCCTTCTTCTTTTTTTTTCAGAGGAAATGGACGGAACCGACTTCAACTCGTTCTGCGGAAACTTCGAAGAAGAAGACGATGAGGATTGATTTATTTTATGGATTTTCATTTTTTCTTCTTTTGATTTATTATATTTGATCTCTATGCTCTCTTTGTCATTGTCATAAATAATTGGCTCAAGATATTCCAGAGGAAAGAAGTTTCTCGATTTCTCCCACCCGACCTTTTTGATTGGAAAAGTCACAAATTTTCAGAAAAAATGATAGAAAAAAAGGTCTGGAATCTAGTGTTGTTCTAGTGCTCAGTCTGGAGTTTTCCAGAGGTTTCTACTGGTGATTTTCCGTTTTTTTTTAAATTTAAATTCCGTCTCTCGTCATCATAAAATTAGGTCAACGTAGACTCAGCATTTTACCCCTCCCAATGCCGTAAACAAAAATTCCCATTTTTGATTTGAAGATTTGTGAATCACAAATATAGCTTACCGTAATATAGCTTACCGTATGTTTTGAAAACTACCAAGTTTCTTGCCCTCCGATAATCTAATTTTTTGTTTTTTTTTCTGAAAATTTTGTTATCAGAATGTTACTCGTGACTTCCTGCGTTCCAGCTAGAAATATTAATTTTATTTGAACCAGACCTAGATTGGGAAAGTTGCACAAAGTTCCAGATTTGCAAGTTTCACATTCTAGAATTCCCAAATTCCTTGGTGGCAGAAGTTATACTCCTGATCTCCTAGAAATGCCTTTTAAGCTTATGATATACTATACTACTGTATTTGTCGTAAAAAGCGCTTCAAAATGAACCTAGACACGACTAGGCTCCGCCCATTTTTAATTTTTCAAGTGGCACGCGACGCACGACCGCGACGCACCTGGAATACTGAAGTGCGCGGGGCCTAGTCGTGTTAGGCTCATTTTGAATCCATTCATATGACAGGACATTTGAATAACTCTCGTTGACCTAGAACCAATTTCTAGGCCACTAGGAGCAAAAGTTGGCCGAACACCAACAAAAGTTTCCAGGTTAAAAACACCACCAAGGTTTCCAGGTTCCACGATACCAACTAGGCTCCGCCCACTTCGAACTTTTCTGACTGAAAATGATTCCTCACGTTTCTAAATCCAGACTTTCGATTCAAAACTCAAGCTTTTCTCACCTTTTCCAATCACAGTCCAATTTTCAATGACGCACATTATCCTTGAAAAATTCTCAAGGCATTTCAGTTCAAATTTCTTCTAGCTCAAAGAATCAAAAGTTTTGAAAAATGAATTTCAAAGCATTGTAATCTCTACACTCTCAAAACTACAAGTGATATTTGTCACATCACCTAGAAGGCTTTAATTAGAGAGAAAAAGAAGTAAAGCAAAAATAGATACCGATTTGCATGTTTTTTCTTTGAAATTTTGATTCATTCTTGGTTTTTTATTTTTTTTAGACAAAGATTACGGTAGATTTACGGCTGGCTTAGTTGAGGTAAACCATTTAAATTTACGGCTGACCATAAAATTTTCGAATTTTCAAAGGCAGAATTAATTTGGAATTTTCTGGATTTGAAAAGGTTTTTGAGCTTTGGGTGCTTCCAAATGTTTGGATTTTTACCCTCCTGAAATTCTGGGTCTCTTCTTACTGTAGTCCCAGTTTAAAAGTACAAAGTCATTGACATCAGAAGTTACAGCCAAGGGATTGGTTGATGTACTTTTATTTGAGTAATTACATCACTATTTTTTTTGGAAATCTAGATTCTAGTCACAGTCATCAAAATAGTGAGTAATTTTAATTATAATGATTGGATAAGGGTTTTTTTGCTATAGGCACGTTTGCTGATTTCAAATCTAGAGGCAAAAATTACCGAAAACTCTGTTAGAAGGCCAACCAATCCGTCAAGTTTGAGCCCATACATCTCGGTTCCTGTAAAAGATAGAAAAAAAAGTGGCCAACTGATAAAATGATAATCATAATATCAAAAATATTTTGTCAATTTACCACTTTTTTTTCGATTTTCAAAGTCCCATATTTCGTCCCAAAAGTCCCATAGTCCCATACTTAAAAGTCCCATATTTCCAAACCCTTAATTTTTGTTGCATTTGCTTTCTCATCTACCGTAATCTACATATCCCCTTTTTCCTTCTCATCTATATTCTCAAAAAAGTTGTCCGTCTAAATGACAAACTGGTCCAAAAAAAGCACACAAAAGTGTAAACTAGCTTCGTCAAGAAAACTCTACAAGAACGACAGGAAACGAGCACTCTACTCGTTTTTCCGATCGAGCTAATTTATGCATTCCCTTGTTTTGTCCATAAGATGGAAAATAGACAGAAACACATAATAAGATGTTAATTCTGGAGCAATCCAAGAGCTTGGCGATTTAGAATTGAATCTCACGACCTCCCCAAAAAAATGTATGGGTAGTCTCGAGTTCAGACTACTGAGAGGAGCAGGTGCACTACGATTGAGTCATGTTGTTTTGATCTCTTTAATCCGTTCTTTTATAAAAATGTTTATCGAGAAATTGCAGAATTTGAGTTTTTACCTTTTTCAGGGGGAGCTCTAGAACCTAAACTGTCGTTTTTCTCTACTAGCAGCCCACGCAAACCGTAAACTTAGAACTTAATTATCTAAGTTTCTGTGAAAGATATCAAAATTTTGCCAACTGATAAATTGTTTATCATAATGTCAACAATATTTTACCAGCTGACAAATTTTTGATATCTTTCACAGGAAATAAAATAAATCGGATTAAAGTTGGAAGGAATTCGCAACCTAATAGCATCTAGTTTGAGCTCATTTATCTTTGTAATTTCAACTATTCCAACTATATTCAACTATTTCAACTATAATTTCAACTATAGCAAACTATGTTTTTACGAGCCAAATTTTTTTTTTGCAAGTTTTCCCAAAAGATAATGCACAAAATTTCCTTAAAAATTCGCTAAAAACCGCTCTCTACGCCCATTGTGAGCCGAGTTACGCTTGTTTGAAGTTTTTCGGTTAGTTAAAGAAATTCTAGAAAGTTGATTTCTAGTGGGTTTAGTTGGAAATTCAATTTTCATACACATTCCTTTGCGAATCTAACAAAAATTTTTATCATAATACCAACAATATTTTATCAGTTGATAGTATCATTGTTAAATCTTTTACAGGGATCCAGATACATTTAATTCAAATTTCCTGGATTCTGATCATCAAGTAGACGGTTTGTTATTTGAGGAATAGCGGCGGCAGGGTTTAAGCCGCTTTATTGCACAACTACAGTACCCCAAGCTTTAAGTGACCATTCTAATTTGTGAGAATTTTATATGAACCTATTCAAACTGTTAACTTTGAGATCAATTATCTCGATTTCTATAAAAGATATCAAAAAGTGGTCAACTGATAAATTGTTTATCAAAATATCACCAATCTTTTATTAGTTGGCAAAATTTTGATATCTTTTACAGGAATCGAGATAATTGAGCTCAAAGTATACGATGGGCTTTTATCAGAGCAAATACGATGATATTTTTCGAGCTACAGTACCTTTTTTGGCTTTTTAGTTTTGATGTGATTTTTAAGAAATTTTAATTTCAAACTTCTGATCTTTCTAAATCCCATACTGACCACTGATCCCATTGCACTGTCCTCAAACTATCCAAATATACTTTTCCTGCCAATATTTTTCATCTTTGTCAAAAATGTGACAAGTGTCCCATGTCAATTAGAAATGTGTACTTTTTTATGTCCCTCCTCCTTCTTCTACTTCTCCAAATTGTTGTCCTTTTGTTCACTTTTCATTGCTGACGCCATTTTGACCGACTAATTGAATTTCCAAATTTTTACTCTTCTTCTTCCAATTGTTATTTGAAGAATTCACCATCCGGGTGTCCTGTCATGTACAACTACGCGGTGCAACTTGATGATGAGTTTTGTACTACTGTAGGTTTCCGAATCTTGCATTTAAATTCCAATTAATTCTTCAGATGTTTTCTGGAGCATACCATCCGGCGTTCCAGTCCGTCAAAGGGTATCATGTTCTGCTATCCATTATATCCATGTTCTCTATATCTTATTTTTTCGTTGCCTACAGTAACCTATTAGCATTTCATTTTAATATCAAGGTGAGTTTCAGAGCTGGGATTCTGAAACTTTAAAAAAATTCCAGATTTTGTTCTTCTTTCAATTTTTCGCATGTTTCCTTCAAGCGGCAATATTGGGTATAGCACAGGTGAGTAAAAATGGAATTAATAAGAAAGGAGAAAAAGGAAATAACAGGTTTTAAATGTTTCTAGTTTAGGTTGCATGTCCGAAACACCTGGTTTTTGTGTTTTGGAAGACTATAGAGGTCTAGATTTTTGATTTCTGTAGGCACACTGATAAAAAAAGTATATCTTTAGACATATCTTAGAAGCACGAAAATTTGTAGAAATATAATTTTAGACTTGATTCAAAGCTACTGAAATTTTCAAAGGGCTTCTGAAAGTCTAGGTATTGTTATGATTCTCAAAAAATTCTTGTGATTTTTATGACATGAAGCAATTTTGATAAGCCATAACTCAGCTCAAAATTTTTCAAATAGTTTCAAACTTGACCAGTTTACTAATGAATTATTTGAGTTCTTGTACTCCAAATTTGAGCTCAATACGCCACTTTACTAAAATTTTATGCTAGTATAAACTTGAGTATAATTGAAGCCCTAATTTACAAAGACATGTTTGAAATGTTCAGACTCACCGGACAAAATCTATTACCGTAAAACCTATACATATTAGAGGGACCGACCCTTCTATTTTTCCGAAGTACCTCCGGAGGGCCCTTCTATTACAGGTGCCCTTCAATTAGAGAAGGCCCTCGTATTTTCCGGCTATTTTTTGCAAAGATTTTCATAGAACATTTTGGTGAAATCTCGCTCTTAAACTCTTTAAAATCTATAAATTTTATCAGAATGAGCAATTTCATCAAATTTCCTTTTATTAGAGGGGCTCTTCTATTAAAGGGGCCCTTTTAATATAGGCTTGACAGTATTTTTTCAGGCATCTAAAGTTGATGATTTTCGCCTAAACCTATTTAACAGGTACTATCAATGTACATGTGGACCCTAGATTTCTATTTCTTGGGCCAAAACTTTAAAGTTATTCCGGATTACAAATTCTTCATTCTATACTTTTTCAGACCCATCATCTTGTCCTCGCCCTGATTTCCACCAACCCTTGCGATGTCGTTCTTCCACCTTGGCTCTACACATCTCTCAATCTCCCATTAATATTCTCAATGCTCTGTATGGAGTTCTCCCAAATCCTTATGGTCATTGAACGGACTTTGGCCAGCTGCCTAGTTATCTGCTACGAGAAATCCACAAAAACTATCGGGATAGTTCTCACGGTTATCGCGGTATGTTCATGAGATGGCATTTCTTGAGATTTTGTCTGGAAATTGAAAAGTTTCAGATCATAGTCCCACTCATAACATGTTTGTATATGTACTATGATGATGAATTCGATTATCCACAAATGAGTGCAATGGCTACATCTCCTGATAGTGAAGTTAAAGTCAATTATATTTTTATCACAATCAATGTTCTCAATTTTCTAACCCTCATGCATTCAATTGGACTTTATCGCCATAATCAACGGGAAGTCAGAGTGTGAGTGATTAAAGCTTTTCGGCAAATTTAGCCGGCCGACCGACCGCCGACTCAGCCGACCCAGCCGACCAAGTTCGTGCATTATCGTGCCAGAAAGTAGTCACGAAATTTCCATTGGATACCTCCAAAAATCGGGTTTTTACGAGTGCTTTGAGCTGATATGACCTTTTGAAAAATGAGGCTAGAGACGCAGAGAAACGAGAAACGCTGCGTCTCTAACCCAAAACTTCAAACTGCCATAACTCGGCTTCAAATGGCCGTGGAAACTTGATTTTTGGCGCATATTGCCAGAAATTTTTAGCTTTTTCTTATTATCTAAAAATTTCAAGATAACTGATTTTTGAAAACTTCTAACATGTCTATTCAATAAAACGTGGGCGCCACTTCCTGGNTGAGCTGGAATGTAATAGTAGCACTTGTCATTCGGTGGATAGTTGTATGGATAAAATGGCGAATTAATGGCGCCGTTGCAATAGAAGTCGTTATTCGTGCGACATCCAATGAAGTCATCTTGGGATATAGTAGTCTTCGCGTGGCTCTAAAAAATGGTTGTTAATTTTTTCAAAGAAAAGTATTCCAATAACTATGTCAAAACCCAAAACAGAATCTTATAAACTCACATGTATCAACTTTTTGGCCCTCAAAGCTTCTACCGTTCCGAATAACGAAGCCGCAATAATGCTCAAAATGAGAATCAGTGATTGATTCGAC